TTTTTTTTTTTTTTTTTTTTGCTTTTTCTTAATTTTAAGGTGAGGGGTTCAAAATGTAGTAATTCAAGATAATTCTGTTTTATCTAATTTAACAGTATAATACGGTTACTTTCAATCTCATATAATAGGGAGTTTTTTTTTTTTTTTTTTTATAATATATTTTGGGTTTTGTTTTATTGGATTGAAACATGGAGGTATGGGTATGTCTCCGATATTCTCTCGCTGTGTAGTGCGAAGGCTACAGAGCAAGTCAAAATCTTTGTTTTTTCAAATTCAGACGTTAAACCATTCAGATTGTGTTTCATACGTTTTCTTTATTGCCGTTTTGATCATTTTTTCCTTAATAATTGAAAACTAGGACGTGTTGTCGTTTAATTTGTCTGTTATGCTCTGTTTGATACCGAACATTTTTTTTTCCAGATCTGCTTATTGATGAATGATGAATATTTATTTTAATTGATTCTCTTCTACTGGGGGAAGGGGTATATATGGAAATATAAAAATGAAAATCCGTGTACGTTTTATTGTATGACAAAAACAGAGAACCTTTGGTAGAAAGATGCTGACACGCAGTAAATATACGGTTACTCAATTTTAAGGCATGTTTATAGGACGTGTTTAGAGTTTTTTATTGACTCAAAAAGTCATCGCACATAGCAAAGAAAATATTGGTTTTGGGGACTATTTTTCTACTCTACGCAACATATTGGCTATTTTTGACTCTGCCTTTTGAAACTCAGCAAATTGGACTTCTTTGGTTGGTGGTATGCAAAGAGTATTTCCTCATATTTTACCCTTAAACTAATGTTGCCATTGGTAGCTGAATTAGGACAAAGACAAATTGAGCTTGATTCCACTAGTTTACTACTAGTGGCTGAATTATTGTGCCCCGAGTTTCTTTGAGTGTGACACCCTCACCACTTGTTCCCACGTTCCTTGAACATCGTTTTCCACGGTGTTGAATAATAAAAACAGTGAATTCATGAAACATAGTTTTTAGTTGCCAGGCTTTGTTTTCCAAGTGACTACTTTAATTTCCCCAAAAAAACGTTACACAAGTTGAGATGAAGCCATGATCCTACACATTTTTTAAATTAAATTCCATAACAACATGTGAACTCGTAGTATTAGTCAATTATTTTTACAGCATGTTGTTACTTTTTTTTTTTTTTCTCACATTTTACTAATCATTATTAACTTTTGGATTTTAACAGTCTGTGCCACTCTACCTCTCTGAAATGGCTCCATACAAATACAGAGGAGCACTGAACATTGGGTTTCAATTGTCGATCACAGTTGGTATCCTCGTGGCCAACGTGTTGAACTACTTCTTCGCCAAGATCAAAGGTGGTTGGGGATGGAGGTTGAGTTTGGGTGGTGCTATGGTTCCTGCCCTCATTATCACAGTTGGATCACTAGTCCTTCCTGACACCCCCAATTCCATGATCGAAAGGGGTGATCGTGAAAAGGCCAAGGCTCAGCTCCAGAGAGTTCGTGGTGTGGATGATGTTGATGAAGAGTTCAATGACCTTGTGGCTGCTAGTGAAGCTTCCAGCTTGGTGGAGCACCCTTGGAGGAACTTGTTGCAAAGAAAATACAGACCCCACCTTACTATGGCTGTGTTGATTCCATTCTTCCAACAACTCACTGGAATCAATGTGATCATGTTTTATGCACCTGTGCTGTTTAGTTCCATTGGATTTAAGGATGATTCTGCTCTAATGTCAGCCGTGATCACTGGCGTTGTTAACGTGATTGCTACTTGTGTCTCAATTTATGGTGTTGATAAGTGGGGTAGGAGAGCCCTTTTCCTTGAAGGTGGAGTTCAGATGCTCATATGCCAGGTACCCTTTTGCTTAATCTTCAATGTACAAATGAAAATTTTCAACTTTAGTGTGTGAATTAAATTGAGGCAGCTTTTCTTTTTCTCTTACTAGAGACTAGTCTCAGTTGTAGTACTGTGATGATTTTCCACTAGAGAGATTGTTCTTATAGCATGTGAGTTATTGGTTATGAAATGGTTCTTCTAATATTATGTATATGTTGGTGTGTGTAGGCTATAGTGGCAGCTGCTATTGGAGCCAAGTTTGGAATTGATGGAAACCCTGGTGAATTGCCAAAGTGGTATGCTATTGTTGTGGTTCTTTTCATCTGTATTTACGTGGCAGCATTTGCGTGGTCTTGGGGACCTCTTGGTTGGTTGGTGCCTAGTGAGATCTTTCCATTGGAGATTCGTTCCGCTGCTCAAAGTATCAACGTGTCAGTGAATATGCTCTTCACTTTCATGATTGCGCAAGTCTTCTTGCAAATGCTTTGCCACATGAAGTTTGGACTGTTCATCTTCTTTGCCTTCTTTGTGTTGGTCATGTCATTCTTCATTTACTTCTTTTTGCCTGAAACCAAGGGCATTCCAATTGAAGAGATGAGTAAGGTGTGGAAGGCACATCCATTCTGGACCAGATTTGTTGAACATGAAGATTATGGCAATGGAGTTGAGATGAGGGGAGCCAGTAAAGTGTAGTTGGTCCTTCTTTTTCTTTTTTCGCTAAATAAGTAGCACTTTTTTTTTTATATATATATATTTTTTTTTGGATACATCATACTATTGATGTTCGAGTCCGTTTCAGTACATTAAATTGTTCTTACAAATGAAAGGTTTTTTTTTTTTTAATCGGTCTCTCGCTTAGTATGTATGATACTTTTCTACATTAATCCAACTGCACAAATTGTTATTCGCATTTAAAAACATCAAATTGATCAAGTAATAAATTCAGTGGTAATTTGTACATTGCAAATATTTATTCGAAGCCTTTTACGTTTATTTATCATTATTTTCTTATAAATCACTAGAGTCTGTTATGTAAATAAAAACTTAAGTTTGATTATCATATTTAATAAATCATACTATTAATGTCCTTTGTCAGATTCAATGTATTGAATTATTCCTAACTGAAAAATTTTAAGTGTTAATTTTCTTATGGTTCTCAATATGAACAATTTCACATGATATTTTTCCATATCAATCCAACTGCAAAAGTTGTTGTGCGCATTTTGAAACATAAAATTGAATTAATGACATGGTAACTAATATTTTGTGCATTTTGAAACATCAAATTGAAATAATGACATGCTAACTAATATTTTAAAATCTTCATCTAATTTCTCGTATGTTTCTTTAATATTCTATTCTTATCACATGCTACAATATTACAGTGACGGCTTTGTAATTTACGTTCAAATGAGCAACGGGGATGTCCATTGGTTCATTATCATTAACGATTGAAAACAATGTTCGCTGTGTGTTTCCATCTATATAATGAGCACGGATCAAAAAGAATCATGTGTGACAGTATAAATATAAAGATATCTGACACATGCTCTGTTCGGTTAGGTGTCTTCTTCGAATTATTTATATGACAGGATCAACGCCTAAACATTTGGTGTCAACGCCTAAACATTTTCCTTTTCCTTGTTTGCATAAAAGAGTATATATAATTAAGAATTAAAAATAAATAAAATTATATATATAATGTGTGTCTTTGTTTATGTGCTTGGATGTATATGCGTTTTTGTATGTATGTTTGTGTGTGTGTCTAGGTGTTTGTGTTTATGTGTGTTTTTGTGTGGTTGTGTTTGTTTGTGCGTTTGTGTTTCTTTGTGTCTATGTGTGTGTCTCTGTGTGGCTGTGTATTTATGTGTCTGTGTCAATGTTCATCTTTGTGTGTGTATGGATGTGAATGTATCTATGTGTTTGTTTGTCTGTTGTTTGTGTGTTGCTTTGCGTTTGTGTGTATGTGTGTGTCTATGTCTTTGTTTATGTTTCTGTGTGCTTGTATGTGTTTGTCTGTGTGTTTGCTTGTTTAAGTGCCTCAATGTGTGTGTGTCTCTATGCTTGTGTGCATGTCTGTCTGTTTTTTTGTGTGTGTGGTTGTCTCTATGTGTGTGTCTTTGTGTCTATGTATGTTTATTTCTGTGGCTTTTGGTGTGTGTCTATGTCTGTGTGTGTGCATCTCTTTGTGTATGTTTTTGTGCATGCATGTGTTTGTTTGTTTGTCCGTGTGTTTTTGTGTGCATGTCTGTCTGTGTTTTTGTGTGTGTGGTTGTCTCTATGTGTGTGTCTTTGTGTCAATGTTCATCTTTGTGTGTGTTTGTGTTTGTATGTGGGATGTGTTAGAGTTTGTGTGAGCGTTGTTTGTGTGTGTCAGTAAGTTTGTGTGAGTGTTGTTTGTGTGTATCTATGTGCCTTTGTCTATGTGTGTGCTTCTCTATGTTAGTGTTTGTGTGTGTGTTTCTTTTTGTGTTAATGTGTTTGTTTTTATGTGAGTGAGCGTGTGTCAAACTATGTTTGTTTGTGTGCCTTTTTGTGTGTGTCTTTTTGTCTATTTTTGTGTGTTTATTTACCTGTGTGCGTGTGTCTGTTTGTATCTTTGTCTATATTTATGCATGTGTCTGTGTGTGTTTGTGTGTATGTGTGTCTATGTATGTGTGTGATGGTTCATGTTTGGGTTTGTGTCTTTGTATTTGTCTGTGTGTATATGTTTGTGTCTGTGTGTGCCAATGTGTGTCTGTGTGTTTGTATGTGTCTATGAGATTATGTTTGTCTTTGTGTCTCTATGAGTGTGTTTGAGTGTGTTGAGTGTCTATTTGTATGTGTGTCTGTGTTTTAATGTATATGTGTTTATTTGTGTCTGTGTGTGTTTCTCTATGTATGTTTATTTGTAGGTGTTTGGGAGTCTGTTTATGTATGTGTATGTGTGATGGCAAAAGGCTAGCTAAGGAACCCATGACTAGAGCTATGGTTAGGAGGATGCATGAAGAGTGAGCCAGTTCAGAGAAAAAGAAAATTCAAAACTTGTTTGATAAATCAGTAAACACTTGGATCTAACAACTTGTAATCATAGTTTTTGTTTACTTAATCCTTTGTTTTAGTTTTTTTAATCCATTCTAGATCCATTCTACTTTTATCTTTTTGTGTACTAGCCCTATCTTGAAGTGCTTTAGTTCTAGGAGGAACAACTCATTAATTGACAATTGGAGACTTGAATAGCTACACCAAATACTTTGGGAGCAAACACTTGAGAGAAAAGTTCAAGAATAGTATCCTTTTTTATTGTTGAAATTTTTGTGTAAACTTGGCCTTTTATTCTTGTGGAAGTGGTCTTATTGAGGCTCTAGGTGTCTCCTTAAGACTTCCACTTTGTTTGTATTCTTTACATTGCTTCTTTACATTGTTTGCCTTAGTGTTTCTTCATGTGTATGCACTTGTGTGTGGTTGTGTGCCTCTATGTGTGTGTCTTTATTTGTGTGTTTATGTGATTATGCATTTGTTTGTGTGTCAGTGTGTACGTGTTCAGGTGCGTGTGTTTATTTGTGTGTTTGTGTTCATTTTTGTCTGTTTGACTGTCTTTGTGTATGTGTCTGTTTGTTTATGTGCTTGGATGTATATGCGTTTGTGTATGTATGTTTTTGTGTGTGTCTAGGTGTTTGTGTTTATGTGTGTTTTTGTGTGGTTGTGTTTGTTTGTGCGTTTGTGTGTTTCTTTGTATCTATGTGTGTGCGTCTCTATGTGGCTGTGTATTTATGTGTCTGTGTCAATGTTCGTCTTTGTGTGTGTATGGATGTGAATGTATCTATGTGTTTGTTTGTATGTTGTTTGTGTGTGTTTGTGTATGTGTCTTTGTGTTTATGTGTGTGTTTGTGTCCAAGTGTGTGTTTGGGTGTGTATCCGCCTATGTGTTTGTGTGTATCCGTGTGTGTCTATCTACATTTGTGTGTGTGCATGTGATTATGTGTGTGTTGTGTGTGCGTGTGTTTATGCTGTGTTTGTGTTTGTGTGCCTGTGTCTTTCTCTGTTTATGTGTGTCTTCCTGTATTTGTGTGTTTGTTTGTGGTTGTGTATGGGTGTGAGTGGTCTTATGTGTGTGTCAGTCTCTTTTTTTGTGTATTTGTGCGTGAGTATTTGTATGTCTTTATGTGTGCATGCGTTTGCCTTAGTGTGTGTCTTTGTGTGTATCCACATGGTGTGTTTCTGTGCCTCTATGTGTGTGTCTCTCTATTTGTGTATTTGTGTGATTATGCGTGAGATTTTGTGTCAGTGTGTAGGTGTTCGGGTGCGTGTGTTCATTTGTGTGTTTGTGAATGTCTATCTGTGTTTGTTTTCATTTGTTTCTGTCTGACTATGTCTTTGTATGTGTGTCTCTTTGTTTATGTGTTTGGATGTGTACGTTTTTGTGTATGTATGTCTGTGTCTGTGTCTAGCTGTTTGTGTTTATGTGTGTGTTTTTGTGTGGTTGCGCCTATCTGTGCATTTGTGTATTTCTTTGTATCTATGTGTGGCTGTGTATTTGTATGTTTGTGTCTATGTTTGTCTTTGTGTGTGTATGGATGTGAATGTATCTATGTGTTTGTTTGTCAGTTGTTTATGTGTTGCTTTACATTTGCGTTTGCTTCTGTGTATATGTGTCTGTATCTTTTTTTATGTTTGTGTGTGTGTGTATGTTTGTCTGTATGTGTTTGTGTGTGTGTGTTTGGGTGTGTTTGTTTGTTTGTGTGCCTCAATGTGTGTGTGTCTCCATGCTTGTGTACGTGTCTATGTGTCTTTGTGTGTGTGTGTGGTTGTCTCTATGTGTGTCTTTGTGTCTATGTATGTTTATTTCTGTGAGTTTTTGTGTGTGTCTATGTTTGTGTTTGTGCATCTCTTTGTGTGTGTTTTTGTGCATGCACGTGTTTGTTTGTTTGTCTGTGCGTTATTTGCTCTTCTATGTGTGTTTGTGTTTATATGTGGGATGTGCCTATGAGTTTGTGTGAGTGTTGTTTGTGTGTGTCTGTAAGTTTGTGTGTATCTATGTGTGTTGTTTGTGCCTTTATCTATGTGTGTGTGTCTCTATGTTAGTTTTTGTGTGTGTTTCTTTTTGTGTTAATGTGTTTGTTTGTATGTGAGTGAGCATGTGTCAAACTATGTTTGTCTGTGTGCCTTTTTGTGTGTGTCTTTTTGTTTGCGCTCACTTCCCTACCTCTTTGAACGAAAAACTTGTTGCAACGAGTGTATGTGGCCATTACCATGGAACAAATTGGCAAATTTCATGTTTTCTTCAATACGGAATTAATTGACTCAACTAGGTTTGTTGTCATGTGTCCCCAGAGATCAAGAGAAAAGAGAAAGAAGACGACATATAAATTACGTGGTTCAGTAGTGTGACCTATGTCTACGAGCAATCCAAGAGTTTCTTATTTCTGAGTGAATAGTAATAATGATACAGATGCCTTTTAGTATTATAATAGTGATAAAATATAACAGCTTCATTACAACCCAAATAATAGTGGAAATAGTAATAGACAAAATTATAAATTCAAGGCATCTCAACAATTCTCCACCTTGACTTGAATTTTTCCAAGTCACCAGTAACCAAGAATAACTCTCCTGCCTATTCCCCCCGAAGGGTCTCAAGCAATGCGAACATTCACCAAGTCCAAGCTATGTTTAAACTTTTTAAAAGACAAAGGTTTAGTCAACATATCTGCTAGATTATCTATAGTAGCTATCTTCTCTATGGAGAACGATTTTTTTTCAATTACATCTCGTATGAAATTCAATCTGACATCAATATGCTTTGATCTTTCATGATAGACTAGATTTTTTTTGCCAAACACAAAGCACTTTGACTATTACAA